ATCTTGGCAGCGGGGATAATGTGCAACCTTATGTGCATAATCTTCTTAAGAGGTGTCACAGGCATTTATTATGGTTAAGGGGGGGAAAAAAAACTCTCGTTTGGTTGCGGCTACAAAAGCCAAATTAATGATCAGGCTAAATTATAGAGTTTGGCGAAAATCGGACTGTAAGGTTCCCTTGGGAATGTGCGAAACGAGGGAGTATAATTTGTAGAAAAAAAAAATGATGATAAACCCATTTAAAACGTGAGGTTTAGTTATAAATTGAAGGTTAAATTATATGAACTAGTAAAAGAGGGGTCTAAAAGGGTTAAATAAATTATTATTTAAATATTTTAAAAAGTATGAAAAGGGCTTAAATCAAACTAAAAAACTCTTAAGGTCTTACTATTATTTATAAATAATTTCAGCAGGAGAACGTATTGAAAACATATGATTATAAATATGTTTACTCTACAAAATAATTAAATATTTCCAAAATCCCATTAGAATATATATTTTATTGGACTTGTACTTGTATTTATTTAATATGTTTAATAAATATCTATTTACATCTTGAAATTGACTTTTCAATTGTAGATTTTCTAAAGAATTTTTAGAGAAACCTATTAAAATGTTAATATATCTAAAATATATAACAAAATTAAGGTATACTTAAATGATACAACATTTATTATATATTATCATGGGTGTGCTGTCATATTTCTTTGTGGTTTTCATTGCTTTTTTCTTGAATATTTAAAATTTAAGTTTTAAATTCACATTATAGTATTTTGCAGTTCGTTTTAATTCCCTTAAAAATTAAGAAAACTTAGTTCAAACTTGTCTCAATAAAATATTCCCAGAAAACCCCCAAATAATCACCGACACTGCTTCCTGAACTGAATTTCGAAACCGATCCTAAACGGACCATGACCATTATACTTGGCCAAATGTTACTCAATCCCTTTTGTTGTTGATTTTTCCTCTTTTGGCCATTTGGCCATCTGCAACACCTGTTGCTCGCCCATGCAAAACTAGGCATAAAATGTGTTCTTGCTACAGGTGAGGTTTTTAGTTGGAATGCAAAACCCTTTCGCTTTGCCGGTATGATGAATTAGGCAAATTCTGGAAATTCCGCAAACATGCTAACGGTGGCTGGAGAGGATGCAAACTGGGTGGAGATGCAACAATGGACGGCTCAGCACGCATTTACAATGGCCTGCGAGACTTAACACCTGTGTGCCAGAATGCACTCTCCTGTGGAAATCTTCACAAATATTTGACATGAGCTGAATAGAGGGGAAAATTTGCATTTTTACCGTGGCGGCGAAAGAACAAAAGCGAACAGGTAAAAATGTACCGGCCATCTCTTTGCATCATTAACACGTCCACGGGATTTAGTCGGGAGACTCAAGAAAGATGCGAAAATCCATCAACGATATATTGGTTATATATCTATATTGTTGTTTTTCCTTCTTTCGGTTCATGAAAGTCTGTCCCTGAACGTATTCGAGTGGAAATTGCATTTGGAATGTTCGGCGGCGTGGAATTTAAGGCATTGGCCATGGGCACGTTCGAGTGACAAATGTCAATTTGCATTCGATTTGCAAAATGTTCTTTTGGCTGCCGTTAATTGCGTCCCCCCCTCCACACCCCCTCTTAGCTACCGATATTTATTTATATTTTTTTTACTCGATTTTCATTTGTTGTTCTTGTTGTTGTATTTGTTGGAGCTCTCCAACTGTTTGCAATCACTGAAATCTGCGGTAACTGTTGCCACTGTGGGCTCGACGGTGTGTTCAAGCTCAAGAACACACCTTAAACTGTTCTTTTCTGAATGTTTTATGAACTGAAAGAAATTATTAGGTATATTTTTAATACAATCATTTAATAATTCTTTTAGTTTTTAAGAGCAAATAAAACATTTAAACCTAGAAAGTATAAAGTTGCTTGAACATTAGGTAACTATGATAAGTAAGTAACTTTGATCAGTAAGTATAAATAAGCATTAAGTATCTCTGAACATTAAGTATCTATAACCATTAACTATCTATGACCAGTAAGTAACTATGATCAGTAAATAACTATGATCAATAATTAATTATGAGCAGTTAGTAATTATGAGCATTAAGTAACTCTCTATGACCAGTAATCATGTTAACTATGATCAGTAAGTATCTATGAACCTTAAGTAACTCTGAACAGTAAGTATCTATAACCAGTAAGTAACAATCATCAGTAAGTATCAATGAGCATTAAGTAAGTATGATAAGTAATTAACAATGATCAGTAAGTATCTATAACCAATAAGTAACTATGATCAGTAAGTATCTATGATTACTAAGTATGTAAAGGGGACCATGGCAATAAGCAAATTTATTGGAATATAATATTATAATATAATAATATAATAATATACAAGTCATGGCTAAGACTTACCGCAGTAGAGGACACGTGGCTCTGTCGTCATTGCTTACTTCCTACAGTGTAGTAACCAAGATTGGGTGACTTCATCCTGGTCATCCAGATCCATTGCATTGGCCACGTCATATTTCTGGTCTCGAAGGCTGATCACTTGCACTATCACTATCGATGTTAACACTAGGTACCCCTAGGACAGACTGAGGCGCGCGCGACCTCAGCGCCTCTATTTATAGTTCCCGAGGAGAGAGTGGAGCAGAGAAAGTGAGTGTGAGTGGGCGGGAGAGTAGGAGTTGCCTCTAGAGACTAACATAGAGCGATAGGCATAGAGAGAGAGGGAGAGAGTCAGAGAGAAACAGCGAGCTGTTTAATTAAGTAACTATGATCAGTAAGTAACTCTGATCGGTAAGTATCTATGACCAGTAAGTATGTAAGATCTGCTACTAACTTTAAACACTAATAAACAATGACTTGCAACTTTTGTAACACAACACATTTCCAAGACTTGGCCGGGAGATGGAACTTCGTTCCGGGGATGTTACAACCAGTTGGGAATCATATGCGCAGATGTGCGAGATATGTTTTGGATGAAATTTAAGATATTTGAATGAAACTATAGAGTTTTTCTTCTGTATAATTTCACTAGTATATAAATCGGAGCATGGCGAATCGGTGCACTATATATACATATATATGGGTGACAGAAAAAATCGGAAAATTTTACGAAAAAATATAACTTTTCCAGTTTTCAATAGATTTTCATCAAATTTAATATATAGCCAATATATATTAATCTAGAATTTTGTGTAACATTTTATGAAAATCGTTCTACTATATCATAAAGCTGCCATGCAAATGATTCTTAGTTTCTCTATAAATTTCTTATTCATATTTTTTATTTCTATATAAAATTTCCCTCAGTGCCTTTGTAACCTCTGTTTGTCTGGCTATTGCTATTGAAATTGGAATTGGAATTCATGGGGCAGGCCGAGAGTCAAGAGCCAAGTGCCAGGCCCATGCCCATGCCCGTGCCCCAACTGGGAACTGGCAACTGGCTGCAACAAGTTCAAACACATGACGTCGAGTCCAAGTCCAAGAAGCCGAGTCGAAGCCAGAAAGTCGATTGTTGTCGCGCCTCTCAGACCAGAGTTGGAGCCTCCACGGGCACAGCCTCGGTTCAATGTCAATTTCGATTCGTCATCCGCAGCTGCGTTGATTTCTCGAGCGACCTATGCCACCATATACATACATATATATATTCCCCGCTGAATCCCCCCCGCGCTCTCAGCATCCTCCCATCCCATGTTTGTTTGCTTTTGTAGCCGCGTTCTTTTTTTATGGTCATGTTAAGTTTGGACTTGGCTTTTAACACACGGACAGATGGAGATGGAGGCAGGACCACCGGCGATCGTCGCCGGCTCTGGGGGTTCATTCTAGTGTATCGTAATTTATTGACGCGACGCGAGGTTGAGGTTTTCCGGGGGTAAATGCGGACATGTGTGGGCAGCCCGGAGGCGAGATTACGTCGCTGGATGCCCTTGCATCTGCAGCTGGCAGAAGGCATAAGTCCGGGCCTCTGAAGCTCTCAAAGTCAGCTCTGCAAAATCCACATCCACATCTCGGACGCCCACACGAAATGTCACTACTATCTTCTCTCCTTGAGGTTGTGTGTGTTGTTTCTTCACAAGCGCATGCGCAGCTGAGTTCAGACCCAAAGTGCATTGATCTGCGGCATCCGTTCTGCTTAATCATTGCACTAAATTGTTGTTTACACAGGAACTTAATAAGGTATAAGCAAAAATAAGCAATAAGGGATGGGAGTTCATTAAAAGGAGTTTACATAACTTAAAGAGGCAACCAATTTAATTAAAAATTTGTTTATTTAATTAGGAAACAGACAATTAGTTTCATTAATAACTATCGAGATTTGAAACAAATTTTGTTTTTTAGAGTTGGACACAGAAAACCAGTTGGTTTAAATAAAAACTAAGGAGTTATGTTAAAAATTAGTTTGTTAAATTAGGTTACTTGTATTAATCGATTAAAAAAAAAATGGTATTTAATTGCGGTTTTTCAGATTAAATTCTTTAACTTTAAATCAAGCGTTTAAAAACTGTAATTGAATTAATTAGTTGGTTAATTGTTGAATTATGGAATGGAGTTTTCATAAACCTAGTTCCTAGAATATCGTAAGTAAATACTACATTTCAGAAAAAATAATTATAATAGGTTATAAAAGACAACTTTAGATTTATTAAAAGGCACCAACTTTACTCTTTTATTAGTAATTTATTAATTAATTAGATTCTGATTATACTCTATACTATATTATGTAACGAATATAATTTTTTCGCTTATTTATTTTATTATTCATTAATAATTTATTTTATTTAGTTAAAAATTAGGTACCTATATGCTTTTTTATAACCTAAAATATTCCCTGAAGCCTCATAAAATTTACTATTATTTTATATATTTTTTTATATGTATTTATTTCTTTAGTTCATTTTGAGTATGAATACAGTTTACAGTTTTACAGTTTAAATGTTTATGAAAACCCTTGCCAAGTTACCAAATTAAAAACATTAAACAAAGAATACATATAAAATCGTTTATTTATTATTATTTTCAAATTATTGAAAATAAACGTCGTATTAAAGTCATAAAATTAATCTCAGCCTTGCAACCAATGTGCACTGACCATGCGCACTCTAAGGACTTGTCTCTCTCGCTTCCTTAATCCATATCTGTATATATAATATATATACATATGTATGCTAAAATATAGAGTGCATTCTTATACAATATATGTCTCATTATCTCCCCCACTCTATAAACCCCCTCGAAGCGATTCAGTTCCAATTGGTGGAGCTAGTGCTGACTTGGGCCTGGTCCAAGGCCATCTGCTGCTGGTTCAATAACATTTGTGAGGGCTGTGGTTGTTGTTGCTGCTGTTGCAGTTGCAGTTGCTGTTGCTGCTGCTGCTGCTGTTGCAGTTGCTGCTGCATCATCTGTTACTGCGGCGGCTGTTGCATTGTCTGCAGCAGGAGTTCACCCATCTTGGCTCTGAAAAACACATTCTGAATGGGCGTCATCTGCTTCATGAGCGGCAGAAAGCTGATCAAGTAATTGTAGTCCGAGTCGCCCACATGGAGGATATTCTTGCAACGGGCCAGATCCTGGCTGGTGGACTGCATCAACTGCTGCTCCTCGCGTTCGAGATTCTCCAGGAAGTGAACCTGTTCATCCACCCGCTTGGCACAATGGCAGCTACTCGCAGCGGCTGCTGCCAGAGCGGTTCCTTGGTCCAAATTCGGCTGGGCTTTGATGGTCACACTCATGGGCATACCCAAACCCAATCCTCGGTTTGGTGGGGGTCTTGCCTCCTCCTCGGCCGCTGCACTGGCCAGGGAAATGCTCTGAGAGAGTCGTCGCAGGGCCTGAGGGGTGGCCACGTTCTGAAACTCTTGCATTAGGGCATCATTGTCCGCCTCCATTTCTTGCTGGGAGTCTTCTGTCTTGAAGGTCATCAGGGAGTCGGGTTCCTCCTTGGGTTCTCCCCCATCTACTGGTACTTCCTCCTCCTCGTCGTTGTTGCTACTATCTCGATCCTCACGCAATCGTAGATTATCCAAAAAGCTCATGGCCTCGGCATAGGACCATTGATGCACTGGGGAACCAGCTTGGGGATTTGCTCTGGAAAGGCCACTTCGCCGGTTTTGGCGGCGATAACTGCAACGCAGATTTTTCCATTTGGTGCGACACAAGTCCACTGAGAAAAAAAGAGAGAGAACAAAACGCAAAGCAAAAAGAGGTTAAGTGAGAGAGAAGAATTGTACTCAGAAAGAGGAAACAGAGAACGTAAAGAAGTTAGTCGTCATCGTACGTGCATTGTTATCTCTTACACTGAGGGAAATAATTATGGGTTTTATTTATATAAATATGATAAAAGTAAGTGATATGAAAATTTGTATATTTTTAATACATTTAACAAGCAAATTGGTTAAGATTTTATAAATATTATATTTTTATTTTAATAAAATAATGTTTTGTTGGGTTTATATATTATAAAATCATTTTTAAATAGCTACAGTACATTAATTTATTACAGTAATTAATTAAATAAGCTTAAAATAATAGTATATAGTTTATGAAATATTACATTTGTAATATAATAAATATAAGTATAAGTTTATATAAATATAATTACAAGTTAATTGTATGTCCCACCCCATTTCTCCCAGTGCACACTCACCATTGAGCCCGACTGCCTCCGAAACACTGCTCCAGAGCCGCTGCGTCTCCGGTCGATTGGCGTGGTCCGGATGCGTGGGATCCCAGAGAGCGGGTCGGAGCCTCACCTCGGCGATCAGCCTGTGCATGTCCATGTGCTTTCCTTCGTCTTTATCAAGCAACTGAAAACTGAGCGGATGAATCCGAAACTCTCAGTCCAACCGGCGCGCAAAGTGAAGGTTCTCTCGCGTTCCGGTTCTCTCTCCATGGGGGATTCTCTGAGAGAATTTCAATTCTATCCCCAAGTTCCTCAAGCGCGGGGGGGGGGGAGGCAGGCGGCAGTTGAGGTGGGAAAGATGGCACAGAAAACAAAGTAAAGTGTGCATGAAAATGCAACGGTTATTGCGAGCTTTTATTTTGTTATTGCTTTTGATTTTATTTTAATAACTGTTGTTGAAAAAATACCCTTTAAAGTAGAGTATTTTCAAATTTTAAGTAAAATATTATAGTTATATTATGTTATGTTATACAAAGATACGTAGTTTTTTAAAGTTTCATAGTTAGAGTATAAATAAATAAAAAAGTAGTGATAAATAAGCAAGTTTGTGTACTAAATAATGTTCAAAATTATTGAAAACTTGCTTATTTCTTTAGAAAGTATTAATTTAATATTTTAGTTATATTTCATTTTAATATAATATTTTTATAGCCTTTTTCTTATTAATTTATCATTTTAAAGAGTATTTATTAGCTCATACTTGTAACCCTTTCATTTAATAATTTATCTCTGGCTCTCTTCTGGAACGCTTTTCACTCGCTTTTTGTTCTCGCAAGTTGCTTTGGCTTTTGGTTGTTGCATTTTATTTATTTTTTTTGTTTAATTGTGTTCTTGATGTTGTGCTGCTATTTGCCAGACATTGACCTTGCGCCCGCACAGTGGGACGGAATGCAACAAACATGCATGCAATGTGGCCGAGAATGATGATAATAATGATGATGATGGTAACATATTGCAACTTCCTATCTCCCCAGCGATATCGGGGGGAAGTTCCAAATATTTGCACAGCCGGGCAACGGCTGATAGCCAGTTGCAACATGTTGCAGTTGTCGTCATCAGGCGGCAGCAGCATTGCCCAAGAAAGGCCAAAACCCGTGAGCAACACATGTTGCCAATGTTGCCAGGCGGTTGAGGAACACAAAAAAAATATATATAATTTAAATATATATAAAATCGAAAGTAGTAGTATTTCCAAAATATGTATAAAATGTACATATTGTTCTATAAATCATTTATAATCCAAGTAACAACTTACTTTTTTAATTTCTGTCAATAAAAATATAAACAAACCTCTTAGAAATTTTAAAAAAATTTTATTTAGCTTTCTATAGGTTTTAGCAATAGGTTTACCTGAAATTTCTATGAAAAATCTTTAAATTTTCCTCATTTTTCTTTCTGTGTTGCTTCGATGTTGCTGCTGCTGCTGCTGCTGCAACGGCGACAACAAGTGGACGTGGAAAATATGCGACAGCAATTATCTCTGGCAACGACCAGGCTATGGCCATATAGCATATAGCATACGATACTCGGTACTTGTACTCGAATTATAGCATATCCATATGCTTGTCGCCTGCTCGGATTTGCGCACGACTTTCGCTTACCATTCCAGGCCGCTCCATTCCATAGTATATCATTGTTGTAGATGTTGTTGAGGTTGCTGCTGCTGTTGTCATCAGTTGCAGCTGCTGTCAATCTGTTGGCCGGCCTTTCGCTGCTGCTGAGCAAAAACAAAACAAAAATTTCCATGTGTCATTTCAAAAATGCAAATATGGACATGATCTGGCTCAGATGTTGCTCCTTGCCTGCCAGCCTGACTGCCATTCCGTAGTCTTCCACATGTCCCGATTGTCAGGCGATGCTGCTGCTGATCAAGCTTCAACCTGACAGCCAAGTGACATCTAAATTTTGTTCAACAAAATGATTATAAAGGCATTTATGCATGCGTAGTCAGAGTCAGAATGGAGATCGAGACCTAGCCACTGTGGAATCTGAATACCAAAAGACACTTGAAGAACTAAAACCTTGCAAAGTGAGAGCTTTAAAAGGGTTTTATATTTATTTTGGATTGTTCTATATACCCCATGATTTAATAGAATTATTCTAGTACCGCTATTTTCTCTCTGTGCACTCTGACTTGGCCTGTTGCAATTGATTTGTTGCTAACCAAATAACCCATGTCCACTGACAGACTCCGTCAATTGTCAATGTTTGTATTCAAATTTTCCCAGCGATCAGCTTTTCATGTTTATTATTTGCGCCCGGTCAAATGGCAATTTATGAAGGCTTTGTTCAAGTCCTAGAAAGACTCAGACAAAAGAAATAAATAAAAACCAACCTGTAGACTTTATTTAAATGTTAAACAAATAAATAAAAAGAACTATCACAAGCGATTATGTTATAACTTGGATTCTAACGCCCCATTAAAGGCAATTGCAATTGCTGTTGACGGCATTTAACGCTGGCCATAAAATGTGACCGTCGTTGTCGTTGTTTTTGTCGCGATATTGCAGTTGCAGTTGGCTGTGATTGCCGTTGATTGTTATAACAAATTTGCATAATTATGCCGCTTATCTTGGCCATATGTCTGGGAGCTCAGAGAGAGACTGACTTGAAAACTGGTAGACGTTGCCACGTCTGCAACACGCGCCGCGATTCGACAGCAGCAGCAGCAACATTGGCAGCAAAAGCAGCAACATTAGCAGCAACAGCAGCAGCAGCAGCAGCAATGGGAGTTGCAATTGTAGTTAGAGGTGAATATTTTTTTAGGGAAAATACCATAGAATTTACTATTTTAAAAAGGTTTTTCTTATTTATAATATTAATTACATGAGCCACATTTTTCGTAGATTTAATAAAAGAATTTTTTGTATTTATTTAATTTCCCTATTATTATCTGAAATTATCACCTTTTTTCTTGGCATCACTGATTCCTAACACCCACATGAGACTTGCTATTGTTATAAACTTTAACTACCGAAGCTGTGAAAGGCGAAAAAAAAAACCTCACATGTTGCTGCCGTGTTAATTGCCGATGTTACTGCCGTTTGTTGCCGCTGCAACAACATAATAAATTACCAACTGACTGTAAGCGAGAGATGGAAAAACAGTTAGTTGACATTGACGCACTGCGAATCATAAAAACGGACAACAAATTGATTGCCAATCAACAACATGAACACGACAGCAGCAGCAACATTGGCAATGGCAACCTGCAACACGGCAATTGCAGGTGTCAATGAATGTTGCAAATAAGGAAAGGCGCGACAAGCGTGGCCAACAAGGGGAAAAGGAGTTCGAAAGACTTGAAAAAAAGTTAATTGACCGATGCCAATTGCTGCTAATGTGGCCAGTTATTATGTCAAACGGTCAGCAGCCGCATTAATTGAATTCAAACTGGACAATTGTCACGCAGCTGATGCAGCTTACGAAGCAGCAACTGCAACTGCATCTGCAGCAGCAGCAGCAGCAGCAGCAGCCGTTTTTTTGCAGACCAACTGCTGCGTTACAGTTTTGGCAACTGGCAACCCACACGAATCCGCAATCCAGTCAGATGTCTGCCAACTGCCATCCGCCATCCGGCGAATGAAAGATGTCCACGAGGCGCACATGGAAAAATTCCAATAGCAATTAAAAATATTTCCAACGCAAATGCAGCCAGCGGGGGCAACGTAACATCACAGCTGCAGTAAATGCACTGCGAAAAATAACTGAAAAAATTATTATGTTTAATATATTTTGGGTTTTATGGAGAGCATCTGAAAGCCTAAATTTGAATGATTGCCAAAAAGATATTAGGCATTACAAATTGCTTTACTAAATATTAAAATATTAAAGAAAGAAAATACGAAAATATGTTTTCGAAAAAATATATATTGAAATTTTCACAAATTGATAAAAAATTTAAATTTTGAAATGTTTTACTTCAGTTTCTTGATTTATTAACTTACTAAAAACTAGTACAGCTGTGTTCTGGATTAAAAATAATATTTTAAAGAGTTAGTTATACTTTTTTTATAACTTTCATTGGTAAATATAAATTTATCAATTAAAAATATAGATAAATATCTAAAAATATAGAAAAACTGGAAATATTTCAGGTCTTCTAAAGGCCATAAATTGCCTAAAAAGTCATATATATTCCGATTCAGCATTAAAATCTACATTTACTAATAATAAAATATTGAAGAAAACAAAAAAATTCAATTTTTTTAATTTTTCAAAATTTGATAAGGGGTTAATCGTTAAAATTTTTTAAATTTGATAAAAAATTGAATTTTTATAATTTTTAAAATCGATATGCAGATATGTTAGCCTAGAAAAAAATCAGCATAAAAAAGCTTTCCGAATTGAAATTAATGATTTTTTAGCTTAGTTATGAAGGATTTTCCACTCAGTGGAATGATCGAATTTTAAGGGTATAAAGTCTTCGGCTACCAAAAGCAAGATTCTTTAATTTCTTGTAGTTTTCGAATAGTTTTGATTAGTGGAAGTTACTCAACGATCATCATTCTTAACTTATACTATTTGAAAACTATTTTATTAAATTAAACATTGTAAATATTCATTTATAAAATGAATTTCCAAGTGCACATTGGACAGATTTCACCTTGTCCCGTCGTCCGCCTTGACGATGTCGTCTCGGATCGATCCAGTTCGCGTCCAGCATCCAACTTCCAGCAGCTTCCAGCTTCCAGCTCCCGGCCTGGCTTTGTGGAGTGGCCATGGAGGCCGTCTTTGGCAGCTGCGTTGGCCGTTAGAAATGCTAATGAAAGTCAAGCTGCCGTCCATCGGTCCATTGGCAGCTGCATCCCCTCACCACCGATCGAGAGTGTGTGTGCGGTGAGTGTGTACGGTGAGTGTGTTGTTTCTGTGGTGCGTTTTGCGATTTGATTGCATGGGCATAGAAAGTTGCACGGCTACCGTTTTTGGTGGCTAGGCTTGGGAACAGCTGCCAAAGGGGATTGGATTGGGATTTGGCATCGATATCTGGGAATGTGCTCTCCATCCATCCAACATATGCGATACATTTTTTTCTTCTTTTTTTTTTAAGTAGATATTTTCCTCGGCTGCCTTATATATTTTCCAGCGTTTTTGCGCGGAAATTCTGCA